GTACCCTGGGCCTTTTGGTTATTGAGAAGAAGTTGTTTGAAGATTTTAAGACATCTGACTCAAGTGACCTTGAAAGTGGGTCAAGTCATTCATTTGAACAAACTTGGTAGCCCTTTATCCCAGCATGCTACAGACCCAATATAAGTACCCTGGGCCTTTTGGTTATTGAGAAGAAGTTGTTTGAAGATTTTAAGACATCTGACTCCAGTGACCTTGAAAGTGGGTCAAGGTCATTCATTTGAACAAACTTGGTAGCCCTTTATCCCAGCATGCTACAAGCCTTATATCAGTACCTTTGGCCTTTCGGTTATTGAGAAGATGTTGTTTGAAGATTTTAACATATTTGACCCCCGTGACCTTGAAAAGGGTCAAGGTCATTTATTTGAACAAACTTTGTAGCCCTTCATCCCAGCATGCTACAGGCCTAATATCAGTACCTTGGGCCTTTTGGTTATTGAGAAGAAGTTGTTTAAAGCAAAAAGTTGACGCCAGACAGACGGACGACGGACGGACGGACGACGGACGCCACACCATAACATAAGCTCACTTGCCCTTCCGGCAGGTGAGCTCAAAAACCCGTAATCATCGTTTGAGCTTTGACATTTGACGCTGTCTGCACATATATATGTTCCGAACGACACTCGTTATTGCCGAGACTAAACGAGACTTAGTACTTGTGCTATATTTAGACACGCACACATGTGTACAACTTACAGATTATGTTTTGATCGGCACATCGACGGGTCCTGACCATAGACCGGCAATGGTTACAAATAGATCGATGACCCGGAAATATTGACATAATTTATACACACATGCTGCAGTAAAATACCAGACGCAAGTATTTTCGTTTTCGAACCCATATCAAAACGCAAATCTCAAAATCCTGACGCAAGTTGCGTGTAAATAAGAGTAAATTTCGAACCCTGAGCCCTTGATCCTAGTATGCTACTGACTAAATATCATCACCCTTGGCATTTTGGTTATTCAGCAGAGGTTGTTTAAAGTTTTTAACATATTTGACCCCTATGACCTTGAATATGGGTGAAGGTCATCGCTTACAGATTATGTTTTGATCGGCACATCGACGGGTCCTGACCATAGACCGGCAATGGTTACAAATAGATCGATGACCCGGAAATATTGACATAATTTATACACACATGCTGCAGTGAAATACCAGACGCAAGTATTTTCGTTTTCGAACCCATATCAAAACGCGACTCTCAAAATCCTGACGCAAGTTGCGTGTAAATACGAGGAAATTTCGAACCCTGAGCCCTTGATCCTCGTATGCTACTGACTAAATATCATCACCCTTGGCATTTTGGTTATTCAGCAGAGGTTGTTTAAAGTTTTTAACATATTTGACCCCTATGACCTTGAATATGGGTGAAGGTCATTCATTTGAACAAACTTGATAGCCCTTTACCCCAGCATGCTACTGGTCAAATATCATCACCCTGTGCATTTTAGTTATTCAGAAGAAGTTGTTTTAAGTTTTTAACATGTTTGACCCCTGTGACCTTGAATATGGGGGAAGGTCATTCATTTCAACAAATTTTGTAGCCCTTTATCTCAGCATTCTACAGACCCAATATAAGCACCCTGGGCCTTTTGGTTATTGACAAGAAGTTGTTTGAAGATTTTAAGACATCTGACACCAGTGACCTTGAAAGTGGGGAAAGGTAATTTATTTGAACAAACATTGTAGCCCTTCATCCCAGCATGCTACAGATTCAATATAAGTTCCCTGGGACTTTTGGTTATTGAAAACAAGTTGTTTGAAGATTTTAAGACATCTGACACCAGTGACCTTGAAAGTGGGCAAAGGGAATTTATTTGAACAAACATTGTAGCCCTTCATGCCAGCATGCTACAGGCCCAATATAAGTACCCTGTGCCTTTTGGTTATTGAGAGGAAGTTGTTTGAAGATTTTAAGACATCTGACCCCAGTGACCTTGAAAGTGGGCAAAGGGAATTTATTTGAACAAACATTGTAGCCCTTCATCGCAGCATGCTACAGGCCTAATTTCAGTACCCTGGGCCTTTTGGTTTGTGAGAAGAAGTTGTTTGAGGATTTTAACATATTTGACCCCTATGACCTTGAATATGGGTGAGGGTCATTCATTTGAACAAACTTGGTAGTCCTTTATCCCAGCATGCTACAGATTCAATATAAGTTCCCTGGGACTTTTGGTTATTGAAAAGAAGTTGTTTGAAGATTTTAAGACATCTGACACCAGTGACCTTGAAAGTGGGTAAAGGGAATTTATTTGAACAAACATTGTAGCCCTTCATGCCAGCATGCTACAGGCCCAATATACGTACCCTGGGCCTTTTGGCTATTGAGAAGAAGTTGTTTGACGATTTTAAGACATCTGACACCAGTGACCTTGAAAGTGGGGAAAGGTAATTTATTTGAACAAACATTGTAGCCCTTCATCGCAGCATGCTACAGACCCAATATTAGTCCCCTGTGCCTTTTGGATATTGAGAAGAAGTTGTTTGAGGATTTTAACATATTTGACCCCTGTGACCTTGAATATGGGTGAAGGTCATCGCCTTCATCCCAGCATGCTACAGGCCTAATATCAGTTCCCTGGGTTTTTTGGTTATTGAGAAGAAGTTGTTTAAAGTAAAAAGTTTACGCCGGACAGACGCCGGACAGACGCCTTCGGGCAGGTGAGCTAATGATAACCAGTTTAACAGGTATAATGTGCTTTTTATATCCAGTGAGAGTTACCAAGCAAGGACTAACTAAAATGTTGGCACCTCCTTAGAAACGATAGCCAGAAGTGATAGTCACTGAGGAAGATCTCAAAACAAGAAAAAAACATTTCAAAAAACTATTTTATTATTTTTAATCTCAATTGGAAGCTTTTTAACTTGCACTGTCAGCTTTAGGCTACAAACTGTTAACCATGTATTCTATTTCTCCAGCAACCCATAAATTTTGCAAAAGCAATAAAAACAGCATGATTTATATCAAATGGCAAAACATAGTACATTTTATAATGACTGATCTTTGTGTAATAAACTATGTTAAATTCTTCTGAAGGAGTAATCTTTTGAACATTAACCTCATTTCTCTCTCCCTCTCCCACCCCTCTTCACCCTCGCAACATGTCAACAGATATCATCTCACCAGATTTACAGGATAGCTGCCTACTTTTACTTGAAAAATAACATAGGCTTTTAAGAATGTATTTATAGGACTTGTTTAGAGTATGAATACAGCTCTACAGGTTATTTCAATAATCTGCTTAAACTGATACTTCATCATGAATAAAATTGCATAAATAGCTATGAAGTCAAGGGGAGTTAACCCTACGTGTCCAATATCTCATTCTGAGGACAAAAGAGAAGAACACCTAATTCTGCTACATTATACAACGGCAAGAGGATATTACCAAACAAACCTTACTAAACAAGGGAGGTAACTACATTCTGCTACCCAGATATATCTGTATATACAAATGTATAACTGTAAGAAGATTAGGAAGTTTCTGTACTTACTCCATGCCTCCTGCATACAGAGCACATTAACACCACTTCGGGCAGCGACAGCAATGATGTCCGAGATTCGGTTGTGCAGTGCCTCGATCTACAAAAGGTTTGTAAATGCAGTAGTGATTTTCTCAACCTTTTACCAACAGGGGCATGTACTTTGCAACTTTCGGCGAAAAGTCACATAAAAGACACATTATTTTTGGAAAACACAGTGACTTTTCTGTGAATTTTGGGAAAATACAGCAGAAATTAAGCAGAGGAGGAGCCTCAATATGGTCATTCACCTACAAACCACTGCAAGGAGAGCAAGTCAATCAAACAAATCAGATACAAATCACTGTAATGAGAGCTAGTCAATCAAACAAATCAGATCCAAATCATGGTAAGGAGAGCAAGTAAACCAAACAATTCAGATATAAATCGCTGTAAGGAGAACAAGTCGATCAAACAAATCAGATACAAATCACGGTAAGGAGAGCAAGTCAATCAAACAAATCAGATACAAATCATGGTAAGGAGAGCAAGTAAATCAAACAAATCAGATACAAATCACTGTAAGGAGAACAAGTCGATCAAACAAATCAGATACAAATCACTGTAATGAGAGCTAGAAAATCAAACAAATCAGATGATAACAGACATGATTCCTTTCCATTTCTGTCTTGTAAGAAATTATAGGTTTTGTTTTTATTTTGTTTAATATCCTTTTAACAGCTAAGGTCATTTAAGGACATGCCTCCATGTGTGTTGTACATGTGTTTATGTGTGCTTAACATGCCTCCATGTGTGTATGTGTGCTGGACAGGCCTCCATGTGTGTTGTACATGTTTTTATGTGTGCTTAACGTGCCTCCATGTGTGTTTGTGTGCTGGACAGGCCTCCATGTGTGTTGTACGTGTGTTTATGTGTGCTGGTCGTGCCTCCATGTATGTTGTACATGTGTTTATGTGTGCTAGACGTGTTTCCATGTGTGTTGTACATGTGTTTATGTGTGCTGGACGTGCCTCCATGTGTGTTGTACATGTGTTTATGTGTGCTAGACGTGTCTCCATGTGTGTTGTACATGTGTTTATGTGTGATGGACGTGCCTCCATGTGTGTTGTACATGTGTTTATGTGTGCTGGTCGTGCCTCCATGTGTGTTGTACATGTGTTTATGTGTGCTGGACGTGCCTCCATGTTTGTTGTACATGTGTTTATGTGTGCTGGACATGCCTCTATGTTTGTTGTATATGCTGGACATGCCTCCATGGGTGTATGTGTGCTGAACGTGCCTCCATGTGTGTATGTGTGCTGGACGTGCCTCCATGTGTGTTGTACATGTGTTTATTTGTGCTGGGATCGGACGTCTAACCATATTGGATACAGTAGATTTCCCTAATATCACTTATTGATCATATGTCAGAGGAAAACATGATACTAACCGGAACTTGACATAATGAGAAAACGTCAAAACCTGGAAGTCTATATTCTGCTCTGAATTCAGTCATGTTGGTATATATAAACCTTAATCTTTTAAATGCTTTGATTTTAGAAACATCTTTGTAAATTAGATACTTCAATCATGTCTGTCAAGTTTGAAGTTTACATGATTAACTGCGAATGCAGAGAACATGAATGAGCTACAGAGTGACGATCTATGAACTTCTGTAACACGTCATTTCATTGGATGAACTATCATTGCATATTTTTATTGACTGCGCTTATGATATTTTTAAACAATAAGAATTCAAAGAAAGATCACCAGCTTAGTCCAATGATATGCTCAAATTTAAACATTTTAAATGATATGCTAACAGGAATTAATCATTCGATTAATTGATTCGATTAATTGATTACGACATAGCTGCCCATGCCCAGACATGCTTGGGTTTACGTGATTACGTGCTGGATTTCCTCAAATCTTATTGAATTACACAATTCAGTCCAACCTTATACATTACGTGGAATGAACTTTGCATTTGAAAGTCATATCTTTTATTTTATTTTTCACATTTATAGTGTGTAATGCAAACATATCCGCTCGCGAATCTAATTCACACTTGTCGGTACATTGTTTGATATCGCTTGGATCATTTATAAAAACAATACAAAAGCGATCTATTGTAAATTGCTTGAAACTTTGATAAGGTTTGATTATTTTTGAAGCTTTTTAGTTGAAAGATATTCTATGTTGTAACAAAATCAAGTCACATTCACAGAAACCACTTACTTGTAGGACTACGCAACAGTCACTTAATTTTTACATTGATACTTGAGAAGTAATTCAAGTCTAAAAGATGAATCAAACACATGTGTTTCACTACGTAAGAGATTTAGTTCTAAGACAGATGTACATATCAGACTTGAAACTGGTTGTCATACCGACTGGTGGACCTTACCGGTCGATCTGTTGTTCGGCAGTCACCCATACCGACTGGTGGACCTTACCGGTCGATCTGTTGTTCGGCAGTCACCCATACCGACTGGTGGACCTTACCGGTCGATCTGTTGTTCGGCAGTCACCCATACCGACTGGTGGACCTTACCGGTCGATCTGTTGTTCGGCAGTCACCCATACCGACTGGTGGACCTTACCGGTCGATCTGTTGTTCGGCAGTCACCCATACCGACTGGTGGACCTTACCGGTCGATCTGTTGTTCGGCAGTCACCCATACCGACTGGTGGACCTTACCGGTCGATCTGTTGTTCGGCAGTCACCCATACCGACTGGTGGACCTTACCGGTCGATCTGTTGTTCGGCAGTCACCCATACCGACTGGTGGACCTTACCGGTCGATCTGTTGTTCGGCAGTCACCCATACCGACTGGTGGACCTTACCGGTCGATCTGTTGTTCGGCAGTCACCCATACCGACTGGTGGACCTTACCGGTCGATCTGTTGTTCGGCAGTCACCCATACCGACTGGTGGACCTTACCGGTCGATCTGTTGTTCGGCAGTCACCCATACCGACTGGTGGACCTTACCGGTCGATCTGTTGTTCGGCAGTCACCCATACCGACTGGTGGACCTTACCGGTCGATCTGTTGTTCGGCAGTCACCCATACCGACTGGTGGACCTTACCGGTCGATCTGTTGTTCGGCAGTCACCCATACCGACTGGTGGACCTTACCGGTCGATCTGTTGTTCGGCAGTCACCCATACCGACTGGTGGACCTTACCGGTCGATCTGTTGTTCGGCAGTCACCCATACCGACTGGTGGACCTTACCGGTCGATCTGTTGTTCGGCAGTCACCCATACCGACTGGTGGACCTTACCGGTCGATCTGTTGTTCGGCAGTCACCCATACCGACTGGTGGACCTTACCGGTCGATCTGTTGTTCGGCAGTCACCCATACCGACTGGTGGACCTTACCGGTCGATCTGTTGTTCGGCAGTCACCCATACCGACTGGTGGACCTTACCGGTCGATCTGTTGTTCGGCAGTCACCCATACCGACTGGTGGACCTTACCGGTCGATCTGTTGTTCGGCAGTCACCCATACCGACTGGTGGACCTTACCGGTCGATCTGTTGTTCGGCAGTCACCCATACCGACTGGTGGACCTTACCGGTCGATCTGTTGTTCGGCAGTCACCCATACCGACTGGTGGACCTTACCGGTCGATCTGTTGTTCGGCAGTCACCCATACCGACTGGTGGACCTTACCGGTCGATCTGTTGTTCGGCAGTCACCCATACCGACTGGTGGACCTTACCGGTCGATCTGTTGTTCGGCAGTCACCCATACCGACTGGTGGACCTTACCGGTCGATCTGTTGTTCGGCAGTCACCCATACCGACTGGTGGACCTTACCGGTCGATCTGTTGTTCGGCAGTCACCCATACCGACTGGTGGACCTTACCGGTCGATCTGTTGTTCGGCAGTCACCCATACCGACTGGTGGACCTTACCGGTCGATCTGTTGTTCGGCAGTCACCCATACCGACTGGTGGACCTTACCGGTCGATCTGTTGTTCGGCAGTCACCCATACCGACTGGTGGACCTTACCGGTCGATCTGTTGTTCGGCAGTCACCCATACCGACTGGTGGACCTTACCGGTCGATCTGTTGTTCGGCAGTCACCCATACCGACTGGTGGACCTTACCGGTCGATCTGTTGTTCGGCAGTCACCCATACCGACTGGTGGACCTTACCGGTCGATCTGTTGTTCGGCAGTCACCCATACCGACTGGTGGACCTTACCGGTCGATCTGTTGTTCGGCAGTCACCCATACCGACTGGTGGACCTTACCGGTCGATCTGTTGTTCGGCAGTCACCCATACCGACTGGTGGACCTTACCGGTCGATCTGTTGTTCGGCAGTCACCCATACCGACTGGTGGACCTTACCGGTCGATCTGTTGTTCGGCAGTCACCCATACCGACTGGTGGACCTTACCGGTCGATCTGTTGTTCGGCAGTCACCCATACCGACTGGTGGACCTTACCGGTCGATCTGTTGTTCGGCAGTCACCCATACCGACTGGTGGACCTTACCGGTCGATCTGTTGTTCGGCAGTCACCCATACCGACTGGTGGACCTTACCGGTCGATCTGTTGTTCGGCAGTCACCCATACCGACTGGTGGACCTTACCGGTCGATCTGTTGTTCGGCAGTCACCCATACCGACTGGTGGACCTTACCGGTCGATCTGTTGTTCGGCAGTCACCCATACCGACTGGTGGACCTTACCGGTCGATCTGTTGTTCGGCAGTCACCCATACCGACTGGTGGACCTTACCGGTCGATCTGTTGTTCGGCAGTCACCCATACCGACTGGTGGACCTTACCGGTCGATCTGTTGTTCGGCAGTCACCCATACCGACTGGTGGACCTTACCGGTCGATCTGTTGTTCCCATGTAGAAAAGGCACCGTTATTGACATTGTTTACATAACACAACAGAAAAGTAACATTATTTGATGTGAATGTACTGTACCTGTTTGGGTATGGGTGCTGTAGTTGGAAGGACAATCTTGTTCTGTATAGCTCCAATTCTGACCACTCTTGGTGAACGAAAGCTTTCCTCCTTAGCAAGCTCACAGAAACTGTAACCTTGGATCTCAAAGTCATTCTGGTCAGCGGTAGAGTACACATCTTCTGGTAAACTGAGTTTTCTGTAACAAAAAGTGTGGCAGATTTTAATTGTACACCGGATGGCGATTGCTTTCTATTTTTGTGCAGAAGGAAATTGCCTTTAGTTCGATTGGTAGAGTGGCAGACTTGGTACCTATAGAGGTTGCAGGTTCAATCCCTGGCAGAAACACACTACTTTCATTCCAGTTACATATTGTGTTCGTGGCTCTTCTTGTAGTGGAGTTAGAACCTGGGTTGTTGTGGTGTTTGAGGGTGAACACACTTAAAAAGGTGAAAGTAGTGTGGTAGATTTTAATTGTACACCAATTTACAGTTGCCTTCTAGCTTTGTGCTAGAGGAATTTTCCCTTTAGTTCAATAAGAGCAATGGACTTGGAAGCTTGGGGTCGTGGGTTTGATCTCCAGTGGACGCACACAGTGAGTACTCTCCTGTTACAATCAATATATAACAATCAGTCACAGAACTTGAGGTGACTGGAATGTTTTTGCTGGTGACACTTTAATGTCCATAATCATCAGCATTGATGGTAGACATAAACTAGAAATTTGTTTTTGTGAACAAAATTGTATGTCTCCCCTTAAACAGTTTAAAAGTAACAGCCCAGAAAAGATCTTCCTGAAAATTTTGCACTCCAGGTCAAGGTCACAGTGACCTAACAACAGTGCACTGTACGACATCTGTGGGTGATGCAGATATACACCTTGGCGTCGCCTTTAAATGTTTGCAATAATGAGACTTTTTGACCTTTGACCCTGGGGTTAAGGTCACAATTACATAATGTCAATGATAGTGCACTGACATCATCTATGAGTGATGCAGGAATACTTCAAGTTTGATCAAGATATCTTTAATGGTTAAGAAGTTATGACTAGGACAAACTTTGATATAAAAAAATAAACAAAGGGCCGTTACTCTGTATATAGTGGGGTATAAGACCCAATTGCAGTGCAAGAGATTCTGCCTTCCCAAGATTCATAAATATGGTAAGTTTGATCAACGTAGGTGAAATAACATGGAACTTATGCTCCTGACAAACTTAGGTATTAAAAATAAACAAAGGGCCATAACTCTGCATATAGAAGGGCACGAGACCTAATTCCAGTGCACTGCACACCTTCTGTAGGTGATGCAGATATACTTCAAGTTTGATCAAGATATCTTTAACAGTTTAAAATTTACTGGCCGAACAAGAATTTACTGAAAATGTAGCACTTATTTGACCTTTGACCTTGAGGTGAAGGTTGCAGTGACCTTATTCAAGTGCACTCACACCTTCTGTGGGTGATGCAGGCGTACCTCAAGTTTCATCAAGATATCTTTAACTTAGTTATAGGCGGATCAGTCGAATGGTCAACACTCTGGCCTTCCACACAGGTGGCTGGGGTTCGATCCCAGAAGTCGTCGTACGCATTATTATTCAGTTTTTCTCCTGCCCACACAACTCCAACAACCCAGGTGTAGTATAAATTGGTCTGGGGTGGATGTTGCGGTATCTGTGCTGTCCCATTCAAGTGAGGTGGCACTATAAATGATGCCGTTGGAAGCACGGTCCCACTACAAACAGAGCACATTACATCGCCAGCGAACACGCAGGCATACACACATAGGGAGATATTAGCCAGGTGGCATATGACTAGTAATTAGCGCCTGATAAGGCAGCTCCTGCAAATTACTCAAAAATTGCATTGATTTATGTGTATGCTAATTGTATTAATTGTATATCTATGTACTGTAAAGCGCTTTAGAGTGGCTTATGTTAGCTAGATAGGGCGCTATACCAAATGCTGAATATTATTATTAACGGTTTAAAATGTATGGCCCAGACAAGTTGTAATTAGGAGGAAAAAAAGAAGAAGAGGAACCATGCAGTACTAATACAATTTATCGCACCTCGGACAAAAAACGTCCAAATACCATTGGTTTAGAGCTGTCACGTGGTGACCCTCTAATTTTCTATAGAGGGTCAGTAGGATTCCATTATAGGGCAATATGGCTACCCATTGCTCATCGCTTCAAAACTAAAACAAGAGATACGGGTATCTGAATATTCTAAAAATGATACAATGCTCACCGTAATTACTATTCGCTACATTGTATCGTAAGATGATACGAGTTGCCTCCTCTACGCCAGGCAAAAATAGTAGGACGTTGTCGCCAGCTACCGTCTTTTGTTTTAGCGTGGGTGCCGTCCCCTTATCTAAGCATTTCTGTTTTTTGATAGCCCTGCCTTCTAATGCCACGTGACTAAAATCTCGCTGGCCTACATCATAATGTTGGGAAATACCTTCGGTAACGCGAGATCTCGTCAAGTCATGTGACATTGCTCATGGCCTAATTTCCATTAAAAACATGGGTTGGTATAGAAAACGTTGGAAAATACTTTTCGTAATGATCTTTGAAACATGTTATTGATACCACCAAGCGCATAAAGAATACATCTTTCGATACATGTGCGACATGTGTGTGAAAATGACGATTTGTTTCTAAAATATCAGTTTGAAGTGCGCTCCGGGTGCGGGTCGCATATTTCCCGTATATTATAGAGGGCCGGAGTTCTGACGTTAATCGACGACAGACCGATATGAAAAAAGTCGATAAAACCTCAGAATAATTCGGACTACTAAAGTGTTAATTACATTGCAAGACTTTCCTTACCCTGAACGACTAAAACGACTAGGATTGCCCACACTTTATAGAAGACAGCCCGTATGTTGTTGACGATGCAGACAAGTTCAAATGATTTACCAAGTTGACCTATCCGGCAACTAGAGGTCACCAGCAAAACCTCTTAATTAAGAAACAATGCTGCTTAAACACCACCAAGAACATTTTCAGCAATTGTGTAGTTACCAACTGGAACAATTTATCAGCTGAAGTGGTTATAACGCCAAAAGTTTAAATAGTTTTAAAAATAGGCTAAACTTGCACTGGAAAGATCATGCCCACAAGTTTTATCCATCCTTTTAATTCACTATGTGTATATACTAATGGGACTGTTAGACTTCACTAGCCGAGACGTCCATATATTTAATAATGGCATATGCCATTTTTTGCCCACTCCACCATGAATCGATTAACGAAATGCAGATAAATAACATCATTACAAGCCACAGGCTTTCCATTGATTTTTTACCTATGAGATACCTATGAGAATAAGAGCGGTGGACTTGGAAGCTTGGGGTCGCAGGTTTGATCTCCAGTGGAAGCACTACTCTCCTGTTATAACGATCAGTCACAGAACTTGAGGTGACTGGAATGTTTTTGCTGGTGACACTTAAATGTCCATTATCATCAGCATTGATGGTAGACATAAATTAAAGTGGGCAGACTTACTAGGAAATAAGAACCTAAATAAATTCGTAGGGAGATCTGCGGTGCCTTCAATCTCTGTACAACTTTTGGTTGCAGGTGACATTTTATTAAACATGGTACAAAACGATCCTTGGAATTCCATGACAATTTGCAACACAATGTCTCGATTTATCGAAAAGAGCGAAAAATAAATCATAAAAAAACCTAAATCATTTAAAATTGTGTACCCATTTTGTGCCACGTGTGTTTGTTTGTAAACAAATGTCACGTGCCTAATCAAATATAAAATAATTGTTTAAAATTCCTTTAAAACTTCCATAGTGGGTCCCTGTTACAGCAAAAAAAAATAAAAAAATGCAAGAACATAATACCAGCGCTGTAATTAATGTATATCGGTGTAACTTGATAGACCAAAGAAACGTGCTCTTGCATTTCAGAACTGGGCCATGTTACATGTATAACAAGTTTAGCTTGTGGGCCTATTTCATCCAGGTTGCACCGACAGTTCTAACTTGATAAACAGTCACATGCAATAGTTTACCTCAGTTCCCTCCCGTAAAAGATACGTCTCACTTCTGCCAACTCAGCGGCAGGTAAGTGTTTTTCCAAAACTTTCTCAACGCTTTCTAACTCTGCAGCAGCCATTCTTTTTCGGGGAAGTGTGTCGACGTCCTTGACCTTCTAGTGCGACGGGACAGTTCAATGTGAGGGTATACGTAGTCACGATGCAATATATATTTGACCACTTTTTGTGGGGGTATGTTTTGTTTGTCCCTCGTCATGGTTATCGAATTTGCCAGGTCGATTTTATAAAAAAAAGACATACAATTGTGATTATCAAGTTTGTATTTGAATACCAACGACATTTTGTTTTGTTTTATATGTTATGAGGTCATCTCATCCCAAAAATAACTTGACGACTAGCCCATTTCCCGCGAAAGACAACATCGACAGATTTATCATGGTCCACCACAATATCGGTTCTCATTTGAGGTAATACGTTGAGGACGGGTGCAGCTTAACCTAAGTAAATAACAAACACCATTGGGTGTTTAATGTACGCTCATGCTACCTTCAGAAAGAGGCATCCTAGCTGTTATCACCTGTTTTCATAAATGAACGACCTTACAGGTAAGTTTCTAAACACTAAAATTAAACTCATAGGTTAACAGTTAAGCGTAGACCTAACTTATCTAATACTCGTAGACGTTGTTAACATATATAGATAAGTCGTTTCTCCAGTGAATGACTAGAAAGGAATGACCAATTGTAATTGATTGGTGTCTTGATAGTCAATGTAAACAGGTAAGTTTCTAAATACCAAGTTGACTGATATCGCGGGTTTGCGACATGAATTGACCGTGATAAAGCACTGTTAGCTTTATTGTGGTACAGTAGGCCTACTGTAGGCAGATGTTCAAAAGATGTCATAAAATAAATATAGAGTAATATTAGCTTACGGTGACTCACTCACAGCTTTCAATAGATCACATGTCAGCTTTAAGTAAGTAATTTACAGTAATACCACGGAATTAGATAAGAATGTGATGTAAGTCTGTGGTAATACTAATAAAGAAAGAATGGAAACAAAATTGTGCTAGGCTGCTGCTTACTTATTTAGGGTAACGAAACTGACACATTTAACAACGGGCCTTCTCTACATTCGTGAACAACGTTTACAAAGGAAAAAGTACCCGATGGCAGGGACATATAACAATATACTGTCCCTGCCGATGGGTAGCAATCGGATCCCTCGGGGTTTACCAATGTCTTCTGCTTTCATACACGAAGAAAAACACGTCAAATATGTAAAACCCAAGCACTGATCGCAAGTCAGACACAAGCTTGTTTTCACTGATTTCAAGTTGGACACAAGTTGATCGTGAGTCGGACATTCGATTCTAAGTGGGTTTGTTTACCAAACAGGAGCTCCGATAAATTTGACACTACTATATACTACTGTATGCCTACCAAACAGTACCTACTAAGAGTGCGAGTGTGAGAAAAATAACGACCCCCCCCCCCAACAAATTCCTTTTGTTTTACATATGAGTATCTTTTAGTCTGTGTAACATGCATAACTGACTGTGATATTTTATACTTGTGTTGTGATGTTGTTATCCATTCTGTAAGTGGACCCTTGGGTCTGTTGAATTGGAAATAAATTAATTAAAACAAAACAAAAATTAAAAAAATCAGTGATTTGAAAAAAAAATCAATCAAGGGGCTGCGTCAAGTGGCTTGTGTGGCTTGTTAGTTCATTCACAATGATATTTTCTTTTTCGACAAGCTCAATGAATTTGATATTGTTGTGAGAACTGTGACCGCCGCACATCAACAACTGTGGACTATGAGCTCCTATCCACAGAAGAAAGGTTTATATGAACCAGAGCATCCCTTGCTGTCTTTTGTCCACCCACTTTCAGAAAGAGATATATTCAAATTTTTCAATTCATTTATTGTAGATTTTTTAAGACATTTAATGTCATAATTCCATAGACTTCTTTTGGTTTTCCCCTGTATAATCCTGTGGGGTGGAACAGTACCCCGTCAGCATTTACACATGCGATTATCGTGACAAGTTCACTTGATGTTGGTCACTTTGTGTGCACAGTTCTGGCCACTGTGGCCGCAATGACTTTTTCAGGTTTATGTGCTAGAGTAAGTCCCGTTTTGTCCATTTTCTAAATATGACATGGGTGTATTCACTAAATGACACGGCAATTATGTAATGAAAACAAAAACTGTGGTTACAGTTGATAAAAGTTTTTTATTAAGGAAAGATTATGATTCTGACTCAGTCTGACTCACAAAACTTTACATTGACAATTGTTCCTTATCCTTCCTCAGAACGAAAGCCAATATTGATCTTTGCAGAGGTCCAGCTCTCCTGTTAAACTTTTCAAGGCTAGCTTTTGGTTTTAAATAGAAATGACTGTGAAATAAATTTTCCTTGAATAGCAAGGAAACGAAATTGGCATCATCCCATCGAAGATAAGTCCTTTTGAATGGCATTCCTGCGTCTGTAAACACAGCATTACCATGTAGGATTACTAATTGGCTCATGACTAATGTAGTAGGCTTCTCTAAACTTTAATTCCCTCCCTCCCCAATGGTTTCAAATTTCAAGTTTTATTAGGTCACCTGAGACAAAGTCTCAAGTGACCTATTGCGATCGCCTTTTGTCCGTCGTGCGTCCGTAAACATTTTACATTTTCGACTTCTTCTCCAAAACCCCTGAACCAATTTCCATGAAATTTTGCAGGAACCTTCCATGGACAAAGGTCAACAAAAAAAGTTGCCGGTTTAGTCCTAAGCCCCCAGGGGCCTGAGGGGCGGGGCCAAAAAGGGTCAAATTGACTAAAATTTCAAAAATCTTCTTCTCAAGACCCAGATATGGTAGAATCAAATACTCTTCATAGATGGAAGGGTCTTAAGGTGCTTTACCAAAATTGTGAATTTCATGACCCTGGGGT